TGCCTGTCTGAAAGAAACAAGGTCATCTACTATAACAGATTTCTCCCCGATCGTTCCTTTACCACGTAGTCTTCCCTCGTGACGAGATTCTAGAACTCCGACCCTTTTGATGTCCAGATAATATGTGCAGAACTCAATGGCCTCCTTCGTTGACAATCCAGTTGTCGATTTGAACTCTAACAGTATGATGTCGGCTTCCAGTTTGCTCATTGGACAATTCCTATACAATGGTGTTTTCCATCTTGTCTCATTTTCTCTAGCTTTCTCAGTTGTCTTTCACTAAGACATCCGGTCTCTACATTACGTAGCAGCTGAGAAATGCCATCGTTATCCTCGGTGTCGTCAGCTAGCGTGTTCCTAAACACATTATTAACTGTGGCCATAGGTTCCATGTTGACACCGGGTTCCTCATCAGCATCGTGGATGGCAACATCAGGCATGTCCACATCATCATCGTTTTCCCGCAGAAAATTCACACCAACCTCGCCATGCATAGTCCATATCGTATAGTTTGGCATGGACCCCCTGGTAATCAAGTGTGATCGTATAGACTCAATTTGACGAAAGTTCCTATGATTCTTGCAATCTTTGCATGGGCAGAAGATAGGGTTCCCATTCCCAGCATGGGCTTTGGCATCAGTGATAAACTGGCTGACGCCATGCATGTATCGCTTGTCCGTTTAGGACAGATGCATCCACTCTCAATCCATCTCTGTACAAAAAAATACTGAGAAAGTAATTACAAAGAATTAATAAGAAATCGAGCTTCATGAACAACAATTGTAGCTCGAAAGTACCATTTTTGGAAAACATTATTGTACACTAATTATTGAAAGATTGAAATTGGTAGCCCCGGCCCTGTAAATTGAAAATCGTAGTAAAAAACAATTATTGCACAATATTGAAGCACAACTATTTTACTCTAATTCTAAGAACTAATTATAGCATCACATACTAACAATGATGATTTTGACCACCATGGAATAATTAGCTAGGAATTTAAATGTGTTCATAGACACCAACCTTTTGGATGATGGATTCACCACAATTTGAGCCTTGCACAAATGTTCAATTGGAAAAGTGCTCTCTAGAATGGAGAAAGAACTAGAATGAGAATCAAGCAATGTAGCCATCAAAATGAAGCTAATTAAGCAACAAAATCAAAGGAGTGGATGTTTGTTACTAATCTTAAACCAAAAAGATCAAGCCATTCTTCAAAATCCAAGCACTAGCTTCATGGTGAAGAGCAGCCGCAACAATGGAGGGAAGGGTCCAAACGCGCGCCTCTATTCTCGGGATGGAAGAGAGGATGGTTGCAACCTTTTTGTGTTGTAGGCTTATCACGGTCGGTTCTTGGTTAGAACCGACAGTGATAGAGCCAAAACACTGTCGGTTGAAGCCATAAACCGGCAATGATGTGGTCCTTCACTACCGGTTTTAGCCCAGCACCAATCATTTTTTCATTTTCAAGCTCATAACCGGCAGTGAAGGCACATCACTGCCGGTTCTCACAAATCCGGCAGTGATGATGCCGGCAGCGATGTGCAAATCTGGCATAGTGCATGTTAGGTCCAAATTACCTGCTCCTTTTTGTCATATGTCTAGATTATCTCCTACACTAATTTTGGGTTCTACTTACTTCGTTCGCCAACTATTTTAGTAGGTCAAATTTACCCTTTAACTAGATTTGTTATTTTCGTTTCTCCCCTTATAAGTTGAATTTTAATTTCGAAATTTCTAAGATGATAGAGGACATTATTCTTTAGCTTAAAAATATATCTTATTTTTTCATCATTATTTGTCATAGGTTAATGTTCGGGGAGGCCTCCCCGGCACCGCTCCTCCCCTGGCGCTCCACCCTTCTTTAGTCAGACCAAACTACCTCGCAGTGGGTACTAACCCTCGCGGTGAGGGTTTCCAGTGTACCATGTTTTATCCGTGTGTTCAGGTACCGCGCACGAAGGCCCGCTTCGCAGGAGGAGTATGGTGAAAGGAGAGCAAGTCGATGATGCCGGGATGCACGAAGGTTTGGTGCCCGCCGCGGGGGGAAACCGACTTGGCAGCGGTGGTGGTCCCATCAAGGTGGTTAGGGTAGAAAGTAGCCAGCCAAGGGAGGGAGATTACCGCCGTACCCTTGGCTGTTATGTAGCAGTTGCCCCGTCGGGCTTGGCCCTAATGTAAATTTACCGCGCCTCCAGGTATGGCCTATAAATACCTAGGGCGCTCATGTAAGAGCGGGGATTCTTGGATCCCGGGCAAATTAATGGACATTTAATCCGCATTTTTCCATCGCCCTACGCACTATTACCTTCGCTCGCTCTCACACGTTTGCTCGAGCACTTTCCTGTGGGAAACCCTTAGGCTCTCCCCACAGTTAATAAATTTAATATTAAATTGACACTATGGGATACAATATTGTATGCAACATATTGATGAAAAATTGGCAATGTATTTTTGTAGCACAAAATATGATATTCTCTATCATCTCACAAAAAATTTGAAATTAAAACATATTTTTTTATCTAGAGAATAGTTGAGGGAGTAAATTGAACTAAACATAGTTTAGGAGGCGTAGCTTTGTGACCTAAACTCTAACAAGAACCCTCAAATCTCAGCCTCTTCTTTCTTATGACAAGCGGAATATGTACGTCAGTGGCTTGGGTAATATTTTTCTTTTCCTCGTTTGCCCTTTTTTTTCTTCGGTGATGGCAGGTCACCTCCTCTTCTCCTTCGTTCCCATCTCTCCTATGAAAAAACTATGGATTTATTTACATCTGTTTTTTTTAGAGGTTCTTTCTTAAGAGGCCATGCGAAAGTAGCCTTATTTTTAAAGGCATTTTCTTAAGAGAACATCATATGAAGGTCCATTTTAGAGGGGAGCCTCTTTAATTAATGGACCATTTTCTAAAATGTAGCTCTATTTTAAGATTTGTCTTTCTTTAGATATCTGTACCCAAAAATCAGTATCTACAGATGGGCTACAACAATGGGCCTCCACTAATTTTTCCCGAATTACGGAGCTGCATGTCATTTCATTAAGAAGAAGAATAAAAAAATAATACAAAGGGAAGGACGTTAGAAACCCCCTCCTATAGGCAACCCCTAACGGGGTTTAGTCAATACAACATGCTATAAAATAAACTAGGAAAACATGATCAACAACCTCAAACGACCAATACCTAAGGAAGAACCAAGACCAACGACGTAGCAAGGAATTCATGTAAGGCCGAGGCTCCTGCCATGTATACACCATAGATTACTCTCATTGGCCACAGATTGAAGCAGCACCTCTATACTAGGCCTAGCACCTTCAAAAACACAAGCATTTTGGTGATTCCATAATTCCCAATAAAGCAACTAAATGCTCAGACTATTGAAGCCTTTGTGTGAACCCCTTGGAACCCCTTTGATGGTGTCACACCACCAACCAGAGAAGAAAATATTGGATTCTTGAGGAGTACAAGATAACATGTCTAACTTTTGTAAAATCAGTTTCCAAATTTGCCAGGCCAACACACATGATATGAGGATGTGTTGAATATTTTCCTCAGCCTAATCACAAAGTAGGCATGCTATTGGGCGAGGAAGCCCACGCTTGGCCAGGCAATTGGTAGTCCAACAACTATTGTTAACGGCCAACCAAACAGAAAATTTACATCGCAATGGTGCCCAGCCTCTCCAAATACACTTCCGAGGCACGAACCTGATGCTTCCAAGGAAAAAAAAAAAATTGTATGCAGACCTGCTGCTGTATGTTCCAGTAATACTTAGCTTCTATTTGTGCTAAAACTGTTGGCTGTAAAACTAGGCCATCAACCAACCCCCAAATAAACAGCTACTCTCTTAGCACTTTTACATTCAAAGCCCCTCTAATATCTGGTACCCGGGGCCTAGACCACCGTGCGTTGCTTTACCTCTCTTTTGGAGATCAAGTTGAATAGATTGGGTGCGAGTTCAGAGATTTTCCTACCTTGCAACCATCTATTCAACAAAAATTTAGTTGACTCCCCATTGTCAACTAAAGTTTCAACAGCATCATTGAAGAGGGCTATGCCATTTTGTGGCACCTGGATTGGCAATCCTGCCCAAGATCTAGATGCATCGGTTTTTTGTGCCCAAAGCCACAGATGTGCAGTGCCCAACCAAGACTTTCTAAGTTATGAACTGTATGACCACCATATTGAAGAAGATGCAACACTTTTTCTCAAGCAACTAGATAGTTCACACCATTTTGTTGCTCTTGGCCTTTCCAAAGGAAGCCTCTGCGCCACTTATCAATTGCCTTGATAACCAACTTAGGCAAGTACATACGATCATGAGGTAGATGGGGACTGTAGTTAAAACCACCTTAACCATGATCAATCGACCAGATTTGTGCATTAAGGAAAGCCTTCCATCTAGGGAGGTAATCAACCACCTTGTCAATCAATGGGAGAAGGTCATTCTTGGTCGGCTTGTGAATTGGGAGAGGTAGGGCACGATAAGTGCAAGAAAAATCCTTTAAGGCACACGACAATATTTTAGAGGTGAATGTTGTTTTCAATAGCCACTAAAAATAGAATGTAGCATCTCAAAAAGTAGAGTCCAAGTAGTTATTTACACTTCGATTCATAAGTTTTAGTTTCTTTTGTCAATCTAGTCCTGAGTCGAAGAAATTGAACTACACCTTCTTGTTGGCTTGTTAGTGATATGCGTTGTTTGTTTGCTGTTAGTTTGCAAGAAACTAGAGTATCTTACAACACAAGGTTGAGATGGTGGTTGTCCAAACGATATTGTAGGCCACTTCATCTTTGAAGCAAAGGTGACATTCGGGTTGCGAAGAGAATCTTTCCCAAACCATATGCATGAACTCAAGAAAAACAAACAACTCAGAGTGCTCTTATTATTTATGTTCTTCCTTAGAAGTTACATCGCATCATCCTTGTGTATTCATCCCTCCATTATCAACAAGTTTCTCATTCAAATCGAGCACATGCTTACCATGGTCGATCATTTCCTCCATGGACGGTGGCTTGGTAGGTTCGCCACAGCGTGGTATTATCCTCCGTGGTGGCTTTCTAGGCCCAGAAGGCGGTGACATGCTAGGCCCAGAGAGAGGTATCCTCCATTGTGGTGGCATTGCCACCAAGGGTGGTGGATGGCTAGGCCCGGAGGGTGGTACTCTTCCTCGTGGTAGCAAATCTCCAACCCCATCAGGTGGCATCGCCATCGTGGAAGGAGGCTTCCTAGGTCCGACGGGTGGTATTAAACATGGTGGTGGCATCGCCACCATGGGCGGTGGATGGCTAGGCCCGGAGGGAGGTACTCTCCCCCGTGGCAGCAAATCCCCAACCACGCTAGGTGGCATTGCCGAGTATGGCTGTGCATTTGCCATCATCGTGAAAGGTGCGGTCAGTAGTGTCAGTGCCACCATGACCGCAATTGATGATGCGGTGGCCCCAGCGATGCTATTCTTGCTGCTAGCCATGGCTAGCTTGTGATGTTTTTTCTTCTCTTTATATGGATCTTTGTGCATAGGAGAGCATTGAGGTGGATGGAAGCTTGGACCCCATGTATATATATAGTCAAGCCTAGCTTCTAAATAAGGCATGCATATGGAAATCAATCTGATTAGTGGAATGCTTTTATGGCCCTCACATATGTTTGGCTTGCAATTAGAGTTTCCTATATTTATCAAATTTTTATATATGCTCAGATAGAAGACTTCTATTGCACGGCTGAATATGTTTAGCTTGCACTTATATCTTCCTTAACTTTTCAAAAGTATGTTCAAATAAAAGACCAACTTCGGAATGTGATTAGTGCATTTTTGTGCTTTGCCTGCTATTTTGTTAATTAGTCCTTATTAAAATTTTCTATCTTAAAGACATAACTTCAACTCTTCATTTACTACTACTTTATAACTCAAAATAATCAATATGTTATAATTCAACCAACTGTAATATAGGTCCCTTAACTTTAAGATTTCTGTCACTCATACTTTCTCAATCTCTGACAATCGACGTACATGAAAACGTAGTGGCATTATAAAATAAATTCTATTAGTGTATTCACCAAAAAAGGGTACTTCTGTAGTATACAAACCTTTTTATTTTCAATGCCATATTTTTCTAAGGAATTCAAGTCAAAGTTCAATCATAATTGTGGCAAGGGGAGTTATAAAAGTAAAACATTTTTATAGACTTCTATCTAGCAATGTTCTCTCCATATAGCAAGTGGAGCTGCTTTGCCCATCGGTTTACCAAAATGGCTCTTGCTCCACTAATGGAGTTGTTTATGGAGCTGCAGCCAAAAAATGGTTTCACGGGTGAAGTGAAGCCATGCCAACAGGGCCTTAAATATACATGGTAATGGAATGCTTACACATGACTGTATATATAGGAATGATAAGACCAGTCTTCAACCATGTTAGGTCCAAATTACCCGCTCCTCTTTGTCATATGTCCATATGATCTCCTACACTAATGCTGGGTCCTACTTATTTCACCAACTTAAGTTTGGATCACATGATCTATTGTTCTTAAGTATGCCTGTCTGAAGTCGCACAACAATATACATGTACGAAGATTGGTCTAGTATTTACTTGCATGCCATTTGTGTTACCACGTTAACATACATAGTTGGTAACATGTTGAAAGGACCGAGGATGCCACCTGGAGGGGGGGGGGGGTGAATAGGCGTTTCTAAAATTCAACCCTTCAAAATATGGAAACGATTATTGTTGGAGTTTCCAATTACATGGGAACCTCAAGTCAGACAACAAAATCCCTCATGAGGAAGCCAATAGAGAAAATAAGGTGTATAGGAACAATCTAGAAGATACAACCCTGCAACACAAAGTTGGAGCAACAAATAAATAAAATCAGCACTGCTCCCCAATACCGGACACGTCCGGTATACGTGGGCTATGCAGATCAGCTGCCAACTCCTTCCTTTCGATTCCTCCTTTTGCACTAAGTTGCTAACACCTTTTGGTAACCTGTTTGCAAGCTCAAGCAATACACAAATATCACAAATCCCAAAAGAAAGAGAGATCGAGGCATGATATTTGTTCTACCGAAGTTCGGACTCCGTCGAGTCCTACTCTCCGTTGAGGGGGCTACGAGCGACCTAGTGAAGGTCAGCTCTAGAGAACCATGAAGGCCACTCTAGCCAAGTCTTTTCCAACTCCTTTTCCTCCTTCCACAAGATGATTCCTTCCCTTTCAGCAGTGGAATAGAACCGTTACAAACTTCCCGAGGCAACCACAATCTCTTGGGTGCTCTCCAGCGAAGCCTAGCTGTCTAGGACCAAAGAGTCCAAGAGTAACAAAAGCAAATCATGAGATCGACAAATATGCATAAGTGCTCCAGGGTGGCTTGCTCTCAATTTGAATCTCACTGAACCCACAAGATGGATTTTGCAAGTTTGAATCAATCACTCACTAAGAGAGGGTTGGAGAGAATCCTCAAGGCTCAAAAACATGTATGAATGTCAGCAGAATCAGCAGTCTCCAAAGGTGGAGGCTAAGGGGTATTTATAGCCCCTTTGAAAAACTAGCCGTTAACTAGCTGTTGGGGAATACTAGACACGACCGGTATTGCTTGTACAGCTCCAACGGTCACTAAGTTAGTAACGCAGCGAGACGCCAGAACTCCGGACGATTGCCGGAACTTCCGACTCCCGAAACTCCCGACGTTTCTCGGAACTCCCGGCGAACCAAACCAAGAACACCGAGAAAGCTGCTGTGGCTGAGAAGATACTGAACACGTCCGGTATCAATACCAGACTCAGCAAAAACTGGTTAGCTCTTTTGGCTCTCAAACACTCAAACTTCAAATAGGTTGGCTTGAGCACTTATGAATAAGTATCTATCAACATGATGCATTCCTCTTAATAGTACGGCATACCTATTAACTCAAGATCAAATGAAAATGGAGTTGAGCCGCTTGAGTTGATTTCCTTCAAACCAAATGCCATAGACTTCAATCATCATCAATTGAGGGTGTCAATCATGTCGATCTTGATTTTCTCCTTGAGCATAGCCATCTTGAACATGTGACTTGATTCCATTCAATAAATGTGAATTAACTCCAAATGTATCAAGTCATTTCCACAATTCATCCAATGTGTTTGATCCTCCAATTTAATGTGACCATCATAATTTGATTGGTACCTCAACTAAATGCAAGACTCCCTTCTTCACCCTAGCTAGGTTCCTCAGTTGCCAAGCCGTCGCTTGCCCTTCACCCTTGCTTAGTACCTCAAAGCCTTTCCTTGCTATCTTCACCATCTCAAGCTATCAAGTCACACTCGGTGTTGAATCATTCATCAAGATCATTTGTATGATTGGCTTTCAATATAGCAAGCTCTAAAAAGTGAGACCATTCCATATGCAATCCCTTATGTCTCATTAATTATTTTTTTCAACGTGCTTGCTTTCATATGAGTCATCGAAATCCCACAATGAATAAGCCTTGTATGGATTACATTTGCTTTGTTGTCTTGTGTTTGAGTTTGTTGTCTTGTGTTTGAACTAGATTGTTTATACAACAACACATCATTTTGGCTTTCATCAAATACCTGTAAGATAACCCATTTTCTGTCAAACACTTAGCAAACGGGTTAGACATTTAATCACGTTGTCATTCAATCATCCAAAACCCACTAAAGGGCTTGATGCACTTTCAATCTCTCCCTTTTTAGTGATTGATGATAACTTGATTAAAGCTTACAAAAAGATATTAAATATTAAAGCTTTTGGATTCAATGATTTATGAGAGACTCTCCCTTAATATGTGCTTATGAATGGAATTCACAAATGACCTCAAATGCCAATTGCGCATATTAAAACATACAGGAGACCCCCCCTAAATCATTGCATCCATGTGGTGCAAGTGTGTGTGGCAAAATAAAACCGTGATGCATATGACAAGATATATCACACAAGAATCAATATAAAAGCATCACACCATATATTTTCATTCTAAGACATGCATGGTCCTTATAAAAATAGATACAACACATGTATATCACACACATAGCACTCATCACAAATTTTCTCAAGTCCACAAACCACTAAGATAGATTATATTACAAGATAAAGATCATGTCTCATCAGTCTCAAAAGATACATCCAACAAGAACAAGTCTCATCTCATACATGATACAAAGATAAAGCTCATATAATCTGTCTCAACTCAAAATGATACAACAATAAAGCTCATAAGATACAAAAGATAACTACAGCTTGTAGTAAGTATGTCCAGGTAGAAGCTAAGCAAATGAAACACCCTAAAGCTTTAATCACTCTCTCTCTCTCCCCCTTTGTCATCCATCACCACAAAAGGTCGTCAGAAGATCAACAAAGCACAAAGGGGCTACAAGCTGTATCTGGAAGCTATGATCACTCCTCATCATCGTCGTCATCCTGTCCACCATCATCCTCATCCTCTGAGCGTGGAGCACCAGGTGGACGAGAACCACCCTCACCAGCAGGGCCATAGCCACCAAACCCATAGTAGCCGTATCCACCAGTGAGGTCGTCCCAAAAGTCTGAAGCAAAGGCCTCTCCTGCACTAGGACATGGTTGAAAGTCAGAAGGCACACGTGCCTAGAGTGGCAAGGTGTCAGGGTGCTCCAGTGCCTGCTCCTGCTACTACTCCTGTCACTAAAGAAACTCAACAAACTATCTATCGTGCCTAACCTATCTCTGATCCTCAGTCCCATTCTCACTAGAGGGGGGTTGTCATCTAAAATAGGAGACCTAGGAGGATTAAGCTCAAGATTCTAGGAAATCATCTTGAGCGTGCAGGTATCCTTCCTCCTAGCCTCCCTCTCCTTCCTCTGTCTAACCTCACTGTCCTTGCACATCCCAAAGATAGCACTGAAGAACTTGCAAATAGGAGAAGGAGGGCTGCGGCAATGTGAAAAAGAACGTGGTGGAGGTGAAGCTCCTGCTGTTGCACCACCCTGAGGTGCATCTACCTCTACTGCTGCTGTTTCTCCCCCTGGACAAGGTGGGGCTACTCCTACCTCTATCAAATCAACCACTATATTCAGAACCTTGTGAGGTCTATCATAATCAAACTGGTGCCCTGTCACTTGCTCAATCATATGCATAATGTATGGACCAAAGCCACAACCCTTGATGGGCCTCTCACCAACACTTCGGATCTCACACCAGATAAAATCAAAGATACTAAAGGGGTGAGCATCTAGTGCCATCCTGTGGAGAAGGTTCCTGGAGTAATCTGCAATAGTGCCTTTGTCACCACCCTTGCAATCAATCGTCTTCCTGAACATCCAGTCACGTACCTGTAGGTGGGATGAAGGCCATTAACCTTCCCACTGAGCCACCTCTATACATATAAGCCATCCTCTTAGGAGGTAATACCTACTCAGTGTGAATCCTGTCTCTCTGAAGCTCCTCCTCTAAAATACCTAGATGCCCTGCGAAGACTGCATAGTCAACACTGTACCACTATCCCTCTAACATCCA